GCATTTCGCGCACTCGACACGCACGATCTCCGCAGAGGGTTGCGCGCACATGGGACAAATCGCACTCTCGCCTGCATTTCGCACACTCGACACGCACGATCTCCGCAGAGGGTTGCGCGTCAAGTCTCCAAAACGAGCGTTTCGTACGAGACTTCCTCAAAAACTCACACGTCAAAGTCTGCAAAACGAGCGTTTCGTACGAGACTTCCTCCAAAAGTCAAGCGGAAACACCCATCGGAGCACACACATCACGCAGCCCTGCCAAGCAGTTTCGCGATTCCAGCCCCTCCAAACAACATCCGCTCACACGCTAATCCCAATGGGACAGCGACATTCACCTCTACCACAACTCACAACTCACGATTCCCTGCGCCTGCCACGAATCTTTCCCCATCCACACGTCTAACGCGCACAAAGTACTGCGCCTGCCACGAAATGTCACCTCCCTCACACCTCGCAACCTCACGATTCCCTGCGCCTGCCACGAGAATCGCACTTCCACGCTTCAAAGCCCGCACGAAGTCCTGCGCCTGCCACGAAAAGTGACAATATCATCCCATGTGGGCTTCAACAAAATTTGCACCACACCACACGTTTGGAATGATTTCGACCCGTTCAGAGCACACTCACATCCACCATTTCAGCTGAGACTTGTCACGAAAACAGAGCTTCGATGCCACACCCTGAAACGCAAATCCCAATGGCACGGCCACATCCAACACCCCAAAAATACGACTCTCCAAACGCTAATCCCAATGGCACTGCGCAGCAAACTGCGGATCTCACAAAACGCTGCGCCTGTGCAGCGAAATGCATCACGTTTCTTGCGCGACATCTCCATGTCGTCACGCAAATCACAATGGAATAGCGGCGCAAACTGACACGTTACACATCCATGAAAAGTCAATGGCAGCGAATTTGAGACGCGACGACGACGACACGACGACGACAAACGACGAGAGACGACGACAGACGACGAGAGACGACGACACGACGCAAGCCATGCAAACACATGTCCAACCCCCACACCCCCAACTTTAAACGGGAACCCTTCGCTACGCTTTCGGGAACAAAGCGACTCTACAAGGATGCTGGTACCTGCAGGCCTAAAAATCTGGATTCCGTCAATGCCCACCGCAAAGTGTGGTTAGTTCACAGTGTGTTCTCGGCTTCCCTGCAAACTTTCAGAGCTATCAGAGCTTAATAAAGTATGTAATATCAATGTATGTGCAAAAAGCAAAAAAGGACACTCCTGTATTGTCGATGGCTTATGACGAGCTGGCCGGATAAGCAGATCTTCTTACCAATGCACTGGACGTCTGCCGGTCCTCTTCTGCCACTCTGGATCCTAGCACTGGAGTTGCATCACCAGGCTGCCTGCGCACGAATATTGAACAATGAGCGAAATCCGCTGCTGAAGGGGATGTATAGGGATGTCAAATGCTTGGTGCTCTTTGGATCTCTTTGGTATATGTCTCCGTCTTGAATCTTGCTCAGCTGTTCCGGCCCAAGCCAAAGAAGACTAGGAAGAGAACAAGAAATATACTGTTGAAGGGTCTCTCTATTCTATTGGACTGGAAAGACACATTCTCGATTCGGAAACCTGATTGGGATCTTGTTCGTGAACATCCGTGCAGTTGCATGCGTATCCATCTCTTGCAGCCCAATCATAGGCCAACAGTCAAAGCAAAAAGACCCCAAGTGAGTAAATGAGAACAGTATATAAACTTTTGGAGAAAGGAGTTTAAAAAGGAACATAAAGGAACAGCTTGGAAGACAAAAACAACTTTATCTCTTTCTTTGCTTTCACTAAGACAACATGTCGGTTGGCACGGATAGAGTCTATCCGCCTCAGCAGGCTCACCCGCATGGGCTGACAGCCCGGCGAGCTCAGGTCACTCCGCCAAAGGCCGAGGCCCAGCTCAGTAGCCTGGCCATAAGGCAGGCGGTTTTGGGTGTCCAAATCGATTGACTTCAAAACCCAGGTTGCTGGGTTTGAGGAAGTTACCAAATAGTTCTTTCACTTGGTTGGCGTCGTGTCGAGACTGTCTTCGCTGTTGTGGAATCTTGCCGCCCTGTGGTCGCCTGAAACAACAGGTTCCTTTGGACAATCGGATCAAGAGCAACCCCATGATGCATATGACTTGCCGATGCATGACTTGCCCAGCTGGCCATTTGGGAGCACAGTGGATCATCAGCTTACCAGCTTACCTCAGGTCCTACAATAATTCATGTCCTACAATAATTGCCGAATTTCAGGTCCTAGAATGTCAACAGCTTCTTGTTACTACTAGCTTCTTTTTACTAGTAGTAAGGCACTTGTTACTAGTAGCGATGCACTTGTTACTAGTAGCGAACATTGTGTCAACATGCCCCAGTCCCATCCGACCTCTTGTGACCTCGACCATCCGACCCATTCCGACCATCCTCTTGGCTCCCCGGCCAGACTATACCTGCCCATCAGGGTGGCCAAGCCACATATGAGTCGTGCAGTGGCTTCTGCAGTGTTGTCCTCGGACCGACCCCGACCCCCGGACCTGTAGGGTGGTCAAGTTCGCTTGTTCGCAAAAACCCACATTGGTTTGAAGGAATGGAAGCCTGATCAATAGTGATCCAAACAAAACAAAACCCGGCAATTGCCGCACCAATTACATATTACAAGGACTTCAACCGCCCTTCATGGGACATGAATAGAAATAGAACTGTCTTTCTCTCCTTGCGATTGCTAAGCCGAAGTACTAGAGTACTTGTTTCTGATTTTTTTGTTGATCTCAATATCTACGACCGCCCCCTCACTCAAGGGGGCGGGCGCAGCGGCGCCAGCGCAGACAACGCCGTGAAACGAATGGGACCCTTTCTGAGGCCCACGGCGTGTGGCAGAGCGGTTCCTTTGGAGTTTGGTGAGCTAGAGGAACTGGAATAACAGGGAGGTGCAAACATGTGAGGTCACATGTAATATGTTCTTTTCAGCATGAAGTCTTCATATAAAGGCAGCAGGTCAGTCAGAGCAAACAAACGCAATCCAGGCCAATCCAGCATGATAAAAAACTACTACACCAAAGTTATCCAAAGTTTTAAAGACTCAACTTGGAACTGGCCGACTGCAAACATATATATATATATATCTGTGTCTATCCTAAGGTATTCTTACTGCAACTGTGAATGAGCTAACTTATGCTGTTGGAACTGTGTTTGCACACCTTTGCTAATGTTTGACTTTTATGTTCTTTCGAACCCACTGCGGAAATCCCACTGGAACAAGCCTTTTAGCCAAGATGTGACGGACACAAGTTCTGCCTCACAGACAGGTGCAAACAGAGAGGAACAAACACGACGCTCCCTGCCAAACTTTGACGTTGTCTTGAAATGACAGGCGGCCATGAGCTTATTCAGTCATTCATGTTCAATTTCTGCCATATGCACAAACAGCTGAGCAAAAGAGTTTAAGCTGCGCGTTTGGGGACCTCACACACTGCCGTCGCTGCCGGCCTCTCGATGTTGTTCAGCTGGTCCCAACTGATCTGTCGGAAGTTGGGCAAGAAGTGGTGGGCATCCCTGCATGACCAAGCGCAGCTCAGTGGCACGAGCGCTGAAAACTACTGAGTGTCACAATGCAAGATTGCCACCAGACATGTGGTCAATTGCCAGAATATTGATCGAGGAAAGTCTACAAGCCCCAGGTTCAGCCAATTTCTGCGAAATTTCCAAAAGTTATCAAAAATGATCAAGAACCTCTATGTCCAAGCTAACGAAACTGCGACGTACACATTATGTCTGCTGCCATTGATTCAAAACCATCTTCACCACTGAGCACCAGGGTTGCGTACTAATTCCATTGTTTATTGATCATGCCATGCAAACCCCAACAGTGGACGAATTGATTCTCCGTGAACCTGACTTTGAACACTTGGCTCCTAAAGAGGCGGCATGTCGCTAGGACATGCTAGGACCAAGAGGGAAAGCATGGGCATCCAAAGCAGCAGACTGTTTTGTCCAAAGTTCGATGTTTGGCCCGGCACAGTTTCTCGCTCAGACCGGGATCGCCGGGGACTGCCAAACATATCGCCTGTCCTGTGCCGCCCTGCCTCTAGCTTACCGACCCAGTGCTCGACAATATCTGCCTGATGTGGCGAAGCCGAGCGTCTCCATCCGGTGAACGAAAGAATTGTCACGGACCAGGTCCGGAAAGCGAACCAGCTGACAGGATTTGAAAGGAACCTCACATCAGCAAAAGACATCCTAGAAGATTGGAGTTTGCAGTCCACTATGTCAATAAAATAGAATTTCTATGAATTGCTCTTGACCACATACCCATAAAAGTTGACAGCTCTCTCAACAGTTGCGGTCCTTTCACCCATGATCCACATACCCAGAAACTTCTAGGTTGGAGGCCATCGCTACTAGTAACAATAAAGCTTTCTAGTAACCAGAAGCTTCCGGACTGGGAATCCTTTCACTGGGAATCGTTTGCTCCGGACTCCGAGTCCTGTGGGCCCCCACTTCGGTGGCAGTGCTTTCAGTCCTGTCGCATCGGAGGAGGATGGTACCCGGACCCGAAGTGGGAAGAAATGAAGCGAAGTGAAGTGGGGAGTCGAAATGGATAAAATGACAGATATATAAGTCTATTGAACGTATATATGAACTATAGAGACCCGCTAAGAATGCCTCAGTTCGAGGCTTTCCCATTCGAACATTAACTAAATTACGTTGAAAGCAAACGACTATCCATCAAAAAGAATCAAAATTCTGGACTAATTATTTATTCATCAAAGCATCACTGCCACTCTCTTGCAATCTATGCATTTGTCTGAACAACTACTGACTGTACTTCAATGTACAAAATTCATAATGAAGGTTCCAAGTTCCAAATGGCAGTCGGTCAAACGATTCACGTGCACCGTTAGATACCTTGTAGTTGCCCAATCCGTGCCTATCAGGATTGCTGCAAAAGGTTGCTATTTTCACGGAATAAGACAATCAATCTAAAAATATCTAAAAACAGGATACAATTACTTAATAGGATACTCATGATACTTGAGCCATCCCCATGCACATCTGTAGTCGATTCCAATCTTTTCGAACAATGCGCCAGCCATACTCTCGAAACACATCTTAGCCCTTCCTGAGCAACGGAGAAGAAGGTGAGCTGCTCGAAGAGCGCGAGTTTGAGCCGCCCAACATGGCCCACTCGGCCAGATAGTGATTGATGATGGCTTTGAGCCAAAATCTGCGGGACCAAGCTCGCTGAAGTCTGACCGTGTTTCGTAGGGTTCTTCGATGTTCTTCGGATAATGTCACATGTATCTGCTAATCTGCAGCTTAAAGCAAACATCAACAAGCCCTGCAATGATCTTGGAACCCCAGAATGGTCGTGCAAATGAACCGCGCTGCGGTTCCAGCTCAGCTCCAAGCTCTTTTATGCTCTTTTTCCGTGAAACTCACTGGGAGGTCTCAAGCTCAGAAAGCATCTTTGGAGACATCCGACACACTTGATTTGTGAGGAAACACATCCGACTGGCTCTCGCTAAAGCGCAGGCTCCTCTGGCTTCCAAACGATGATATACTGTAATGTACGCAGCTGCCACAGCATGAGGAAGCACAAATCAAGCAGCTTTGAAACCGGCCCGCAAGGCCAGATATTGACTTCCAACAATGCGTAGATACAAAGGATCTGCTGGACATTACATTGGTGGAGTACAGCTGGCTTTCGAGTAATTCAAGTTACCTCATTAAAGTCGAGTCACCTATGACATTCTTGTGGTTTTGATTGATATTAATATTTTAGTTATATATAGTTATATACAGTACTATTATGGCTTGAATACAATTGCCCTTTGCATGTGTGCTAGCACGCAGTGCCTTGGGAAAGCAGAGCTGCACACTCAGCAGCATTCACACATTCCCATACATCCTCTGCCTTCAAGTAAAGAACATTAGGACATTGGCATTGGCATTGTATATGGTCTGTTTCCTGTGGATGCTGTTTCTCAATCTCCATCCCTATTCTCAACCCTGAGCATTTTACGACCTCTATATAATTCATTCATACATGATAAATGCATGCACGAATGATTGCATAAAGTATCAAACCCTATGAGGAAACGATGATCCAAATACTCTACATGCAGTCTCTTCATGTCTCTTCCACCTGTGTGTCTAAAGGGTCCCCGTTTTGCCCTTTCTATCTTCTCGCCCTGGCCCTGGAGTCGCATCAAGCCCTGAAACCCAACCGCTCCAAGACGGTGCCGCATGCCAATTCATGCCAAAGTATGCCAAAGCTGGCTAGCTTCCGTCGAAGACTTCGGGCTTGGCATGACCACCTTAGCGTTTCGGCCGTCTCTTGGAGTCTCAAAGGACACCTTTGCCAGCCTCTGCCTGTTTGGACATAAAAACAAAAGTTCCATGCGTCATTGACAAAGTATCTTAGGGATCTTAGAGTATCTATATATATATATATACATGTCTTTCTTGGCTTCTGAGAACCTTCGGTCCGTTTTCACTGGGCCTGTCTCCAGGAAAATGCTCCTCAGTGAACGTGGGTCATGCGCCTGGCAACGCGGAACTCGGAACGAATCCACAGAGTGGTGACCCGGTGACGTGCAAAGACTTTTTGGCACACGGAAACCAATCCAGGATGAATTCGGATTGATCATGATTGATCATGATTCATGATTGATATGGTTGATTCAGTTACAGTACTTAAGAGGATGGATCATGAGGTGTGCTGTGCTTGCATAAACGTCGTCCAGGTTCGACACTACGTCGTAGGGGAGGCATATGGAGTATGCAAGTGTGAGGGTCGAAACAACTTGTCTAAGCCTAAGTGGATGAAGTGGTCAGTGCGGAGAATATGTCCCAATAGCATTCAATAGCTTCAATTTCTTGAAGTGCCAGCAGTCTGGAAGATTTTGGATGTGAATTCCATGGGACTTTCGTAGAACATCGTAGAATGATCTGATTAGCTTGAGACCTGTCCAAGAAAGTCGAGTGGACTTTCTGAATTTGTCGGAGTCGTTTCAGCCGGAGTGCAATTGCATCTATTTTGTTGCAGTTTACTTTGTGTGACTTGGATAGTTGAGGCTGCACACAAGCGTTGATTGTATGAGTGTGTTATGCGATCAAAGTTCCACTCATGGACACTCAATATTGCTCAGTTCATATGATGTCCTGGTGCTGCTCATGCAGAAGGATTCAAACAAAACAATGCCATCCCATTCCCTACTAAGCTCTGAAAACTCGGTACCGTGGTTGCTTCACACCTGCAGCAGTTTCCCATCTGTCGAGAGCAGCGCCAAATGTGGCCTCAGCTGTGTTCGGGTCAGGCAAAAAACTTCACTCCGGATATCAATCGGAAGTGGCAAGCCATTCATCACTCCAGGAAGCGAAGCCGCCTCCGTCCTGGAATGCCCTTCTACGTTTGATGTCAGAACTGTTTTTTGATGTTTGGGGGTCTGCGCAGTGCCCCCCTCCTCTGGCATCTACCTCTGGACAGTCCCAAAAAGTTGTTTTAGGTCAGCTGGTCAGCTCACGCAAACCTGTCAGATCATTTCTAAGTCGTGTGCTTTGGCAGGGCGAGCCTGTCAAAACATCAACAGTATCTCAAAATGCTAATAATGACAAAGCCGCTACTGTTGATTCCAAACAGGAGTCCTTGCAACGCAGAATTCTAAATACTTGACTGCTTCTTCTCGCTGAATTCCACCATAAACTGTCAAAGCATGAAAGCACTACAGAACCCAGCCTCTTTGCGAGCTCCTGGCCGTTGAATCAGTCATGGCAAAGTGATGCGAAGTGATTGCCCCAAGCTTGACCGGCGTGTGAGAGGATACCACCACAGTTTTCCACACCCTCCAGCACCTTGAGCCCAGCATACCCGCTGGTTGTTCATTTGGGGCTTCTCAGGGGACGACGAGATATCGACACCTCGATGGGATCGACACCTCGCGCAGGTCTTTCACGCTCAGAGCACCATCGAAGGAGAGCTCCGTGAGTAACGTCCCAGCCTGGGCGATCCAGACACTGCGAGCAACCACACTGTCGACCAGTGTACAAGGACGCTACTAGTAACAAAGGGCATCGCTACTAGGAGCAAGGACGCTACTAGTGGCTCCTAGCATTACTACTAGGAACAAGGACGCTACTAGGAATCACCAATAATCTTGGCTGTGTGTTTCTGTACATGCCCGTCCAGATCGATCAAATGCCAACCGGGGGATATAAAGGGTCCAATCCGACCTTGAGTCTCAAAAGCATGGCACTGGCTAATCCAGGTGCATCTGCTTGGAAGAAATGACCTGTCGAGAACCAAGACTCAAGACTACCTCGACGGTCTCACCGCTCGCGTCTTTGGGCACTTGGCGAAGCGGCGGACTCGTGCGCGATGCGTTTTGAGAACCCCTGCCATGCTAGTACAGGAGATCCACAACATCTCAGGAGTGGCATTGGCGGCCAACATCGGAGGAGACCGCTCATCCGTCCTGGGTGAATGGAGAATGCTGTGACGGGCACCAGGGGGTCTCCCTACCCCGAACGCATCCCATTTGTAGCATCTCCTTGAAGAATCCGCATGCTGCCCTGTCTGGCTGGCCTGGCGAGTTGTCTCGACAACTGCCACCAGGTGTTCACCGGTGCAAAAAACAGCTCAAAGCAGCTCTTGGATCCCCAAAACTACAAGTATTCCGAGTTCTTAAATGCAACATGTTCCTAGTTCTTCAATGTATTTGTTAACTTCCGGCCACCATGGCGTTGAACATGGTCTGAAAATCAATGTATCTATAATGCTGCGCTTTGAACTATGTGAGAGATTTGAAACTAATGAGTCAAGGAGCTCTTAACTTGACCCAAAAGAACACGACATACATGAGATTCCCTTGCTCCTTCCACTACATTGAGTTTCTGGTTTAAGTTCGTTTGTGAGAAGGACCTGCTCTGCAAAGCTTTGATCTAGGCCTCCACTAAACCACTAAACAGAGTAAGGAAGAATCTTTAACCATCACCTGAGCTGCTCTTCCAATTCCGACTGGTAATCTGCACTTCAATTGTCGAGAACCAGCCCTGGCATCCTGACAACTTTACAGTGGGCTCAAATCCGCCCGACAAAAAGGTAGGTCAACATACCCCAGAAAAGACATTCCAAGCCACATGGTTGGTGACATGTCACATCTATCCACCCTACTCTTGGACAAGTCTTTGTGCACCATCCATATACCGAATCAATACTCGGAGTTGGTTCAAATGCAATACTTCAAAGGCAGGGATCGCATCTTTGGGGCAAGGCAGGCAGCCTATAGTGATTCCCAAAATATCGTGGCAAAACACCTCAAACAGCAACAAGAACATATGAGCGCGCCTTGAGAGCAGAGATATGAGGGCACATGAGAACACACATGTGAGAGCACATATGTGAGGCACACGTATGAAAGCACACAAACACGGCATGTATGACAGAACATGCATAAGAACACACGTATAGCGTATAGTGTACAGTATCATATATAGTATAGTTAATTAATGCGAATTGCAGTATATAATGATTTGGTACTAAACTAAAATACCAAGCGCAAGCCATGGAGGGAACCTTGAGACCAGTCACGTCCACGTGACCTCCCCATGTTGACAAAGAAACTACTATATTAACAAAGGGCATCGCTACTAGGAGCAAGGACGCTGCTTTTAGCTCCTGGCATCGCTACTAGTAAGAAGAAGCTACTAGTAACAAAGGGCCTCGCTACTAGGAGCAAGGACGCTACTAGTAGCTCCTGGCATCGCTACTAGTAAGAAGAAGCTACTATTAACAAAGGGCATCGCTACTAGTAAGATAAGCTACTAGTAACAAAGGGTGTCGCTACTAAGGAGCAAGGAAGCTGCTAGTAGCTCCTGGCATCGCTACTAGTAAGAACAAGCTACTAGTAACAAAGAGCATCGCTACTAGGAGCCAGGACGCTACTCGTAGCTCCTGGCATCGCTACTAGTAAGAAGAAACTACTAGTAACAAAGGGCGTCGCTACTGGGAGCAAGGACGCTACTAGTAGCTCCTGGCATCGCTACTAGTAAGAAGAAGCTACTAGTAACAAAGGGCGTCGCTACTAGGAGCCAGGACGCTACTAGTACCTTCTGGCATCGCTACTAGTAAAAAGAAGCTACTAGTCACAAAGGGCATCGCTACTAGGAGCAAGGACGCTACTAGTAGCTCCTGGCATCGCTACTAGATAGAAGCTACTAGTAACAAAGGGCATCGCTACTAGGAGCAAGGACGCTACTAGTAGCTCCTGGCGTCGCTACTAGTAAGAAGAAGCTACTAGTAACAAAGGGCATCACTACTAGGAGCAAGGACGCTATACTAGTAACCAGTAGCTCCTGGCATCGCTACTAGTAAGAAGAAGCTACTAGTAACAAAGGCATCGGTACTGGGAGCAAGGACGCTACTAGTAGCTCCTGGCATCGCTACTAGTAAGAAGAAGCTACTAGTAACAAAGGGCATCGCTAGTAACAAAGGGCATCGCTACTAGGAGCCAGGACACTACTAGTAGCTCCTGGCATCGCTACTAGTAAGAAGAAGCTACTAGTAACAAAGGGCATCGCTACTAGGAGCAAGGACGCTACTAGTACCTCCTGGCATCACTACTGGTAAGACGAAGCTACTAGTAACAAAGGGAGTCGCTACTAGGAACAAGGACGCTGCTAGTAGCTCCTGGCATCGCTACTAGTAATAAGAACCTATATACTAGTTACTAGTAACAAAGGGCATCGCTACTAGGAGCAAGGACGCTACTCGT